TACATCGCCATCCAAGAAGCGTCTCCAGGGGAAGGCGATGGCGGCTCCTGATTAAGAAATCTTGAAACGGTGTCCTGACCTACAACACCTGAAGAGAAAAATCCCTATTTTCAAATGGATTAATCCCATTCAATCTTACCAAAAGGCCACCCGAAGCGTACCTGCTCATATAAAGGCATGTCCAAGGGCCAGGGTGTGTCAACAGTCGACCCTAAACTCTCTAGCATAATGTCTTGCGGAATATCGGCAGCGGCAGCCCAGCAATTGCTCGTCGCAAATATTGTCCAAAACCCATTGATTCGTTCTCCTTCAGCAACTTGATCTGACGGAGCATCTAATTGAGTTATAGTTTCCAGGATGCTCGAAGAAGTCATTGGCAATACAGTCAAGTCTGTTCGAGGTGAACGCAACTTATGTAGCCTCGCAGCAAAAGCAATAGAAAGAGCAGCATGAAGATGATATTTCCCTTCCAAGAGGCGCGCTGAGCGGAAAAAATACATCGAGAGTAGGATCTCGGCCTGGAGAGTCTGCAAAATTCGATCGGGATGGGTCGATGAAAGCGTATTAGCTACATGGGTCAGCGCCCGAGAAAGATAACCATGCTCTCGCTCTTCAGGTTCTGCTGCACTCAGGCCGGAAAGGTGAAAGCCTAATAGAGAGATAGAGCTTAGCAAGCCTTCGGACGGTCTCCCTGGTGCTCCGGTAGGTAAAAGAAGCGATTCTCTGAAGCGCTGGACGTTCAAAAAGAAACCTAGTTCTCTAGTATAGCGTAGGAAGATTTCAAGCCTGCAAGTTTCGATGAGACTTCCTGTCTAGACATATACGCGCAAAGAACTCACAATGGTTGGAACATTATATCATGCTCGTCACCCTGTAGATTTTTTCTGTGTCTGAGACCAGAAACAATATGAAGATGAGAAAGTTTTACCTGTGGCAGACGAGTCCAATCGAGCGCGTCTTTAAGTTTGGAATCAGCAACTCCTGTATGTTCAATGGAGGAGGATACAATTCCTGCTCACCCATATAAACTCCTACCCTTACCTCGCCTCCCGAGTCATCAGCAGGATCCTGAGGAGGTAAGCTTGCATAAGGTTGATGTAACTTAACTTCATTAACACCAACCTCCTGCGCAGCTTCCAGCTCCCGTATCTTCGCTTGAAGAATCTTTATATTCGCTTCTAAAGCCTGTACCTCCGACTCACTCGAGGCCGTATCCCTATACTCGCAAGCTGCCCTCGAGTCGGAACGCATACATTGAGAGCATTCTGGTTTATTCCCGTCACACTTTATTTTGCGTTTCCTACAGTTTGTACAGGATTGGCCTCTTGCGGTGTAGGGTCCTCGGGTCTTTGAGGATTTCGGTGATACACTTTTGCCAGTTCCGCCTATAGCTGACATCAGGATGCTTTTGGTCGGTGCACTTTGTTCTACTGACGGAAAAAACATGTCAGAAAGTTTAGTAGAGCCCAAAATGGCATGCATACCGCAGAGGTTACGAATCCAGTTGGGATTACAAGAGCGAAGACGTAGTCATTTTTATATATACTTGTCCCTCATCAAAGATCTGAGCAGGGGAGATACCGGACGCGACCTCCTACGAGGGATGTAAGGCATGTAATCGGGGAGATGTTCAAAGTTAAAGCAACGTTGAGTCGTGGCGAAGTTTGCGATGTCGCGTCATAGAAGTTCCGCACGCGGTCACGTGCTGATTGTCGGACCATCGCGGACCTTCCGTTCCGATCTTTCCGAACCAATGACAGGTATTTGCGATTCGGACTCGGAAGGAAATTGAGGTTTTTGCTCGTCGAGCCCCCGATGTCGCAACCACATAGATCCGACAACCTCGATACTCCTATGACTCGAGTTTTGCTGCAGTTGATGAACCCGTCGGATGCGGACAAGCGACTACGTTATTCAAGCCACGAAGCCACGATTTGGTATGTGATCATCTCTCAGTAAAATCCATACCTATTATTGATATTATCAGTAAACTGCATTTAAGATTCTTTGTTATTAGTTCTAGTGTTTTCCGATAGAGAAGCTACTCGATTTCTGAGAAGACTGTTTTGTTAGGGTCGTCGCTCCTGGCTAGGGCAAGTCTGTAATCGACCATACTTGTCTTCTTTGCTTCGATAGTCTTCGACTTGAGACCCTGTATGGATTTGACCTGGAATGATACACAGACGTCCGAAAACTCTGCGACGGTCCCCTGACGTATGTTATCTATTCGCTCGCCTCTCGCAGTAGAAATCTCCTCTGCATCGTTAATATCCTGAGTGAGGCAACGATCGCATTACTATCCGGCTCATCTTCATACTTACATGTGTTTCAGGGCCACAATTTAACAACAGAGTACAGCTAAGTACCGAGAAAGGTCTTTGCACGCCCCACTTAGTCTTTCGTTGCTCCAATCAGATAGTCCCGCTCCCCGAAATTCGAGTTCTTTCGGTAGGTGAAAATATAACATGGACGCCAATACTGAAGGTGATGATCAACGAGCCTGTGGTCGTTCAACCATCATCAGGCGTGATTTGCGTAGGCGTTTAAGATCTGCTCGATAACACCACAAGCTTAAATGCTCGCAGTGGTGTTTCTGTCCGTTGACGTAGCGGAATCTGAGCGTCCCTCACATTTCAGAATCGGGTGCACCACTGCTATTGTAGCATCGCAGCGACCAAGAGAAGAAGGGCGAATGAATGAAGCAGCAATGCAAGCCAACGAGATGGTTTCGAGCACTTGAGCCAATGCAAAAGTGCCATTATGTACCTGACTGATCTCTCGCCGTCAAGAACTGATTGTCCACCCTTTGGGAGACGTCTTTCAGATGTACGCTCTAACCGGCGACTTGCGGTAAGACATTTCTTATATCGCGGAAGGCACCAAGTTAGCCCTCTCGGCGAAAAAAAAAAAAGTCCATCCCATTGTTGAACAATATTCATACTTTGTAGAGAAGGATTTCTCTTATTTGTAATCTCCACCGAGTCCCACCAAGTCAAAATTACTTATTGGCTCTTGTTAGTCGCTCATTGGGCACCGATAACAATGCCAAAGCTGGCACCGATAAATTCCAGGGAGCAACAGGATTGAAATTTGGCGCACAGACGTCCTCTAAAGATTGTAAACCGTTGATAGAACCGCTCATCGTCTTTCTACTTCCTGCGTTGCGAACCTGCTGAACCTCTGAAACGAGGCCATCATCGAAAAATTCGACATTTATACTCGGAACGATCCTAGACCTGGACGCTGTCAGAGACCGGGTGCGGATTCGGGAGCTCGAAATTTGAGAACGCTGAGAAGTTTGGGCCCAATTTTTTTTCCAAAATATAACAACGCGCAGGATGTCCTGAAAGATGTAGATTAGAAAAGAATCCACATGAACTTGCCTGAGCGTACATTTTGTGATCCAAATATTATTATTCCGAACAGGGGGACTGATGAATCGGTTCAATCTTGGTCGATGGGCAGAAGATTGGAAACTTACTGAGTGCAAGAGTAAAATTAACCCCGATATTTCTCGTTGCTGGAACAAGGAACAAAAGTCCAAGACTGCATAAAACGGCATTGAGGATCAACTAGGCAGAGCAAGAACTAAATAATGTTTACATACACCAAAGTGAAGACAACGACAATTCCAAAAACCAGTACCCTTACAGTGAACGCCATCGGGTGGACCGTTTGCAGAAGTGTCCTTCGGTGCCGATACACTGCACGGGACATCCAGGCTGTGAAGACGTATGAGAAGTGATCCGTGTTAAAGATGTATTCAACTTACTCTCGATAATGATTACGCCTATCAGCGCTGCCACCGCAATTGCAGAACATACCATCACCCTGAAAATGACCTTGAAAAAACAGCGACAGCGGGAGTGAGACAGAAAACGTACGGTTCGGGCCACTCCAAGTGGCAGTAGTATCCAAATGGACTCATACGTACGGCATCCGGTTTTGCATTGCCGAGCTGTGATGGCATCGGTGCTAAGCATACGAATGTAAAAATGAACGGTGAAAACGATAGCATACCACAATCAAGACCGCAAGCATTATGATGAAAAAAGCATATGGTGCAATGACTAGCTGCACGCATGCGGATGGTGTTAAGCTTGTGATATCCAAGATTCGAATAGAAAGAGTTTCACGAACCACAGAAACAAGGGTGTTATTTATAGTGATCAAAACGCCCTTCAATGCTGCACGGATGCTGATCAGGACCTAGGGAATTTCAAGTAAGGACGTACAAACTATAACCGAGGTGGACATACATGTAAACACATGGCGAGAGTAGTCATCGCTGTTCTAGTACACGAATCAGATCTTCCGTGAGCCTTGCATAGTCCTCGTCGTACTCACAAAGTTGGGCTTGCATAGATCAAAGCGGCTTGCGTCAAACAGATTCTCTCCCCAGGCCCCTGCCTAGCCAGCTCTCCACCACTTTTTCCTAAGGCGCCTAATTCTGCATCATCGACGTTTATGCCGATTGTCAGAGCGTAGCTTGCAGTGGAAATGATCCACGATATACAGAAACTATGCCAAGTCGCGTATCGTTTCACATTTGCAGAGAGAAACGCAGTCAAAAGCAGGAAGAAGTATGAAAGAGTGCCGAAGAGCTGGAGCGCGATGAAGGCCTTCACCATTGGTTTCATGGATAACCACTTCTAAACAATCATGCACGCAGGACCGGAAGGTAGTCAATCAGACGTTCTGGTAATAGGAGCCTGTGTTGGCCAGCTGGAAGGGAATAAAAGACAAGTGCGAGGGGAAGAGAAAGTCATGTTGAAAAAATCTACTCTTTAAATGTCACAATCAGATGCTCGAGGTTCCACGTTGAAAGCAAATCTCTGAGTCGGACTCGCAGGGTGTGTCAGATACGGCCCATGATCATAAATTTCAAATATGATCCAGTTGCTATGCCATGTAGCTGATAATTCTGCAAAGCACGTTTCGAAGCCTGCGTCGAAAGTGGTTCAGGGGGTGAAAAGTCGGGGGCAAAAAACAACCCACAACGACGCCAGCAGGATTTGAACCTGCGCCCTCAAAGAGGAACAGATATCGCATGTTTCGAATCTGTCGCCGTAACCACTTGGCTATAGCGCCATAAAAGGTATCCTCGATTATGAGCACCTAGACTTCGTGTAGGTTCAAGATTTCCGCTTTCGGTTTCAAACTCTTCTTTGTCGTTCCCACATGTTCATGCTTTTCTTCGTGCGTCCGTCAGTATGCTCTCGGTCCCGTCGGACACGCGTAGTAGCATTAGGTATTCAAAATGGTGAAACTTTGCAATGGACTGTCTCAAACACGGTAAGATCTCATTAGAGTTTTAGAGACAAATATCATCCCAAGCTCTTCCTAATCGTTTCCGATTCCGAGGTTGTATGTAATTGTCACGTAACTCCCGCCAATTTCTACGTTGGTCCTCCACGGGACCATTTTGCACTGAGTGTTCTCTGACCCCTTCTTGCTCCTGTTTTCCTCGGTTCCTGTGGGTCTTCTGGTTGTAGTTTGCAGCACCAGACTTCCTTTCCCCGGCAGTCCAAAACATCGGTGTATTTCGTTGTATGTCGGTTGTACGTACATTCTATAAAATTGATGATGGACATACAGGGAAAATAGGACGGCTTTTCGCCCTTTATATATTTAACTGGAGCTTCGTGTCTATCGGCCTTATCGCCCTCCTTCCTTCGTTTTTCCCTCCAACTTCGCTCTTTCAAAACCTGCGGACAAACTCGATGATCCTCTCCTTTTTAACTTCACTACTATTTCCCCTGGTCGTACAAGCTGCATTCTACACCCAAACCGAATGTTACGTTGGGCATGACTTTGTTAGTCCAGAGAAATTCACCTTCTTCAGCGACGCAGACCCAACACACGGAAGAGTGTAAGTTGCTTTCGCTATATCTCTGCCCGCCAAGAACTTTTGACACGCGTATTCGCTTGACTTCAGAAACTATGTCAACGCCACAACTGCCAATTACGACAACTTGACCTTTACTTCTGAGGATATCTTCATCGCTCGCGCGGACTACACCACTGTTCTCGATCCCAATGGTCCTGGCAGAAACTCCGTGCGCATTATCTCGAACCAATACTACACTACGTCCGTCATAGTGTACGCTTCGTTATCTGCTCCACATAATCCGGTCTTGCCTATAGACTTTGCGTAGAATTGATCTCCAGCACATGCCTCAAGGTTGTGCGTGCGTACTTCCGTCCCTTCTTTCCCTATCATCGAATCTGAAATTTGGTTCCCTTTACAGGACTTGGGTGAGTACATATTGAATTTGGCTCTTGATTTGTCGCCGTTATTGACAGAGAGCCAGCCTGCAATTTGGACTTTGGGCGCTGATTGGCCTAACAATGTGAGTAGGATTTAACATTTTATTTTATGAAAGATGGATAGAACTCCAAATATCAAGGGCGAGGTTGACATTGTCGAAGGCGTCAATAGTCAGGCCTCCAATCAGGCCACTCTACATACAAGTGCCAGTGAGTGTTTGTAGAAAGATCCCGAATATGAGTCTCATTTTGCTAGACTGTACCATGCCTGAAACTTATCGGCCTCAGACCGGGACCTCGATTTCTGACAACTGCGATGTAAATGCGAACTTCAACCAAGGTTGTGGGGTCGCGTTCAAAAATGGTACTTTCGGACCGTCATTCAATGAAAGGTTGGTTATTTTCTTCGTGGCGCTTCTCGGTTCAAGAAAATGAATTTACACATCTTAGGGGTGGAGGATGGTGGGTTATTCTTGTTGTCAGAATCTGCCTGACTATACTTAACGATCGCTTTTAGGTTTGCAATGGAACGAACCGTAGAATATATTAAAGTTTGGTCATGGTCGCGGGACGATTTTACCGTGCCGCTGTCCGTTCGTTACGGATCCCCAGTCCTCGACACAGATCTCTGGGTAAATACAAGTCATAGGTTGCGCTTTTCTGATCTTGATTCTTGATTTTTTCTTCTCCCAGGGCTTACCGGTCGCATACTTTCCAAACACTTCCTGCGATCTGGCCGCCAAATTTGGTCCTCATCAGATTATCATTAACCGTAAGTGAAGTTTCCACTCCTCATCACTGTGCAGTGAAGGCTGATTCTTGCCCTCTTGATAGTAACGCTGTGTAGGAGCTGAATAGTGGTTTCTAACCTGTTTTCTAACTCGTTATATGTAGGTGGAGACTGGGCAGGGCAAGATGCGGTCTATGCTGCATCAGGTTGCCCAGGTTCCTGCATCGGTGAATAGCAAAAACTCGGAGAAGGGTTTTGAAGCTAACAACGAGTTTCCTTTTGTTTCAGATCATGTTAACAACGATCCCGAGTCGTTCAAGGAAGCTTACTTTGAGTTCAACTCCATCACAGTATATGAACCTCGGCGATCAAGTATATTTCCCAGAGCGCACCATCTTAAGAGAGCCCATTAGGGAATAGCGGAGTAGTGGAGTAGTGGAGTCGGGAGAGCAACTGTTGGGAGTTGGGGAAATGAGTCGAGCCTGGGGGTGAGAGTAGTTTCCGGTAAAATCATTCATTCTTTTCTACCTGCATTCATTACCGCGATCGTGATTTCGACAAGCATCGCGACACTTTACATGTACGCGCCTTTTTAATAAATATTTCTATGCCCCAACATCTGCTGCTATCGTCGATGCAGGCCGACCCTAAGATCGAGCGCGACGGAAATTTATGGATGGGAATACTAGATATAATCTTATAAAGGTATACGTATGAAGGGAACACAAGATACTCGTAAATTGACGTTACAATTATGTGGAGAGTCGAGGTCACCGCACTAGCGGTGGCTCATCTTTTCAAGAAACTCAACCAAGACGACTTCGCACTTGACATTGGATAGCTTGGATAGTCAGGGTATGCATCTTGACGGTGATTGATCAGGTTCATTACTCCAGCCACAATGAGAAGAATCAAGGAGACCAGTGTAAGCCAGAAACCTAAGAGGCAATGATTAGTCCCATCCAAGTAACTGTGTATCCAAGGAATTACATACCTGGTCCCGTCCTTGATTCTATAGCATGTTCGGGAACATCACTAAGTAAGTGATGGAGTTCGGCGTACATAGCAATATCCACGGCATAAGCGAGCAAAGTCAACACTGCAGCCAGAGCCGTCATAAGCAGTGTCACCAATGTACGCTTTGTGAAGACGAGGCAAAAAGCTATGAAGGCAAAACCCGTAGCTACGAGACGATCAGGACAATCAGAACTGAACAATAGTGAATCGATAATTACCAACGGGATGGATGGCGAGTCCTCTGGTCCAAGACGCCGCCAGTGGTTCCGTTTGGCCAAGCTTGTGATTAGAGTCATCGACCCAGATTAACGGGGGCACAGTGTAACCATGACCGGTGGGGCTGCATTGGTGTCCTCCGGCAACAAATTCAACACAATATGCCCTATGTAGCATATGCTTTGGTTAAGACACGTAAAGTATTTTTTGTGCAATACGGGCGACGTACCATATACCGTACTACCAGGGCACGTCAATTGAAGTCAGTCAGAAACATGATAGTGGCACTTACCCGAATTTCGGTATAAGCGTTCGGAATTTGAAGTTGCTTGGCCAATTCGGAGTTGAGGTTGACGACCTGGGCAATTTCCAACGTTCGTATAGTGGGGAGGGAGATCGAAACGAGGAAGCTCAGGAAGAAAGCAATAAAAAGGATAACGATTCCAGTAGTACGAAGGGGAGTCATCTCGGATTTTGCAATGATGGCGATGATTCGTTGGCCTCAAAGAGACCTTTATAAAGGTTTGGCGGTGAGGTTTTTGTACAGCACTATATTTATTACATGCACCGGCTGCCTAGGCCTTGAGATGCCAACCATAGAATAATGATTTATTCCTGTGAAGACCAACATGCGCCATCTGTTTGCTGGAAAAGTGGTTGAATATATGCATTAAAGAAAATGAATTTACACGTCTTAGGGGTGGAGGATGGTGGGTTATTCCTGTTGTCAGAATCTGCCTGACTATTCTTAACGATCGCTTTTAGGTTTGCAATGGAACGAACCGTAGAATATATTAAAGTTTGGTCATGGTCGCGGGACGATTTTAGCGTACCGCTGTCCGTTCGTTACGGATCCCCAGTCCTCGACACAGATCTCTGGGTAAATACAAGTCACAGGCTGCGCTTCTCGGATCTTGATCCTTGATTTTTTCTTCTCCAGGGCTTACCCGTCGGGTACTTTCCGAACACTTCCTGTGGTCTGGCCGCCAAATTTGGTCCTCATCAGATCATCATTAACCGTAAGTGAAGTTTCCACCCCTCATCACTGTGCAGTGAAGGCGGATTCTTGCTGTCTTGATAGTAACGCTGTGTAGGAGCTGAATAGTGGTTTCTAACCTGTGTTCTAACTCGTTATATGTAGGTGGAGACTGGGCAGGGCAAGATGCGGTCTATGCTGCATCAGGTTGCCTAGGTTCCTGCATCGGTGAATAGCAAAAACTCGGAGAAGGGTTTTGAAGCTAACGAGTTTCCTTTTGTTTCAGATCATGTTAACAACGATCCCGAGTCGTTCAAGGAAGCTTACTTTGAGCTCAACTCCATCACAGTATATGAACCTCAGCGATCAAGTATATTTCCCAGAGCGCACCATCTTAAGAGAGCCCATTAGGGAATAGCGGAGTAGTGAAGTAGTGGAGTCGGGAGAGCAACTGTTGGGAGTTGGGGAAATGAGTCGAGCCTGGGGGTGAGAGTAGTGTCCGGTAAAATCATTCATTCTTTTCTACATGCATTCCTTACTGCGATTGTGATTTTGGGATTTTTGGACAAGCATCGCGACGCTTTACATGTACGCGCCTTTTTAATAAATATTTCTATGCCTCAATATCTGCTGCTATCGTCGATGCTGACTGTCGGAACTTTTAAAAAATCCTCGTAAGCGGCCATCAGGCATTGTAATGACCATAATGCAAAGGCGCCTTGTAGCATTATGGCCCTTACAACTGACCGTAACCGGACTGCCTCCTTATGAGTATCCTGCCCGCACAAACTTTACATAAGCTTATCAATCTTATCTCGACCATATCAGGCTTATCTACCATAGCATGTGAATATCAACTTAGAATTTTTTTTGATATCCTCA